CACAAGAACACTATGGGAGGGCACAATTTATGAATGAAGGAGCTTGGTCATCACTAAGTTCATGCTTTGAGCCACCATGAAGGTAAAAGAGGTACGTCAGGCTCGTGACGTAAAACAAGCGTTTGTGGGAGGCAACCCAACAATATTTAAGTTTTCAGTATTTAAGTTTTCAGTATTTAGTTTAGTTTAATTTTCAGTTTTAAGTCTAGTTTTAATTTTTAATTTAGGTAAGTTTAATTTTTATAGTTCTTAGTTATAGATAAAATACAAAAATAAGGATATTGAGATTGATGAGCAATCTATATTGAGATGAAATTTCAGGTGGATGAGGAATAAAGCACGCAGGTACGTTGTTTCCTATTTGAGATTTTGTTTTATATATATTGCATATGTTTCAGAACTGAATCTTAAGTATAATGATAAAGATACTATTCAGTTTAGAATGCAGGGGATAGAAAAAAAAATTGAGAAAATTTTCTAAGTATAGAAGGCTTAAGCCCCCTAAAGTACAATTCCCTTTGGCCTGAGCGCTCAAGCGCGCTGTATCGCGCTTAAGCTCGCTCCACAGTCAACAAAATTCATTTCGCAGTGCACGCTTAAGCGCGCTAATTAAAAATTTTAGCCCATTTCTTACTGCCTCCCTGCGTTTAAGCGCGAGGCACGGAGCTTAAGCGCGAGTAAAAATAATAAAAAATTCCATTCGAAGGGCGCGCTTAAGCGCGCCTCATCAAGCACCATGACATTATGATTTTTCAGCTTGCATCTGAACCCAAATCTGGGAATTGTTTTTAGTGGAAGGCATATTGACTTGGGAATTTTTCTAATTTTTCAGGGCACTACACCTACCACTGATATGGAGGAGGATTGACCCTCATATCAATTTTTAGACTTTTACATTTTGTTTCGTTTATTTTGATGAATATTTTGCTGATGTTAGTAGATGATGATATGGATGTATATTGAGACTGATCTTGACATAACTATGATATTTTGTGGATATATGACATGCTGACATAGTTCATTCTCTGACACGTGTGCAGAATACAATATTATAATTTTTGATTTATTGCTCAGGATTCTTTTAGATTTAAATTAATTGTTGAGGGCAGCAAGATTTAAATCTGGGAATGGGTACCACGCAATTCATCAATCCACAAACTTCACATGGTCGGAAGGAAATAATTTAGATTATACAGAAATATCCAATATGCAAATGCAATGATTCAGGGGAGATCTCTCAATTTAATTTCATATTATTTTAGTAATTTATTTTGATTTAGTATTAGCTTGCTTTTTAGACTGTTATTAGTTTGCTTTAAATTACAATTATATTAGTTTACTTTAAAAATTTAAAGTTTTCAAATTAGTTTAAGTACCCATCCATCCTAAATCACTAAATACTTAGTGAAATTTTCAAATGGTGAATTTTTAGAATTTTCCATTGTGCTTGATGTGTATGCACAGTGCATGATTACATGAAATTGGTTGATATCTGAGATTAAGAGTATGATGTGTAAATTTATTTTCATACATAAATAAGCGTTATTCAAGCATTCTTCATAGTTCACTGGAATAAGAGAAGAATAACAAGTGATCAAATAGAGAGTGGAAAATAAGTCTCACACCCTTAGCCGTAAGCTTTTGAGCCTAAACAGAATTTTTTTTGTGTGAACTTTACTGTTTGAATCACTCTAGAACTTGTTTTATTTCTCCTTGAGATGGTCTGCGATATACAATTGTTGAGATGATAGAGGCAGTTTTCTTTCTAAAAAGCTAGATAGCCAAATAGCAACATTGATGTTTATTCTTAGATTAAGCACCTTTGAGCCTAGGCCTGTTTGTTCATTGACAGTGTATTATGAATAGCCATTCCATACACATCCTCATCTGAACTGATTAATTTTCAAAATTAAACGAGGAACTAGGTATGATTGAAAGAAAAAGAAAGAAAATCAAACTCTAGTGTATGGAAGAAAAGGTGAAAAGAGGAAAAAGCCAAAAAGTGGTGGAAAAAGAAAGAAAAGGAAAAGGTTGAACTGTGTATATGTACAAAGACAGAAAAAGAAAAAGAAAAGGAAAAAGGAAAAGAAAGAAAAGATTCATGTTATATGAATAAGTGGAAAAAGAAAAGAGGAGAAAACAAATAAGAAAAATTTTGTTTACTAAAGTGATGAACAGTCATAGTAGTTCCTCTTTGACTTTGATTTTTGATCAGTAAGCCACTTACCCAGATGATTCCTTCCCTTTTACCTAAGCCACATTACAACCTTAACAAAGACCTCTTGATTGACTTTGTATACTTATTAGACTGTGGAGAGTGAGAATATAAACAAGCCTATAGTAGTGTTAATTCAGTAAAGTAAGAGCGAAACACAAACCCTCAAACACTGAGTGAGAGTGAATAAATAAAAATCCAATGAGAGGGTGTTGTGGATCTGAATTAAACTACTCTTTATTTTGAGAACTCAAGTTATAATTCTATGACTAGTGAATGTGAATGTATGCTTGAACTCGATGTATCATTGCTATTAAACTTGAATACTTTGATATCTCATTATTGATCAGTTTTCTTTCTGTTATTCATTAAGCATGATTAACTGTCTCCAAACTTTCTCATAGTTTTATTCTAGTTAATTGCTAAGGACAGCAATGTTCAAATCTGAGAATTGTTTGAAAAACCTTTAGTTTATCTTGTTTTATAGACTAAATTAATATAAATTATCAAGTTGAATAAGTCAAAAACTAGGGTTTTACTACAATAATCATGAACTATATGAATTATCAATTAAATGATATACGTTTGCTATTTTGAAGGGATTTGAAGATAAAAGGAGGAAGAGTTGAAGATATGAAAGATGAAGATCAAAACAAAAAGATTTAAAGATCTTATCAAGATTCTCAAGTTGTTAGAGAGGGGGCTTAAGCCCCCAATCCAAAGCTAAGGCCTCCAAAAATCAGCAAATGGCCTCTGCCTAAGCAAGCTTAAGCCCCAATTAGCAAGCTAAAGCCTCCTGTATAAGCAAATATGTTCGGCCTTAGCAAGCTTAAGCTCGCTCCAGCAGGCTTAAGCGCGAGCCAAGGAGGAATTTTAGACGCGAAGAGCGCTTCAGCAGGCTTAAGCGCGCTACGTGAAATTTTCATGCAATCTTCAGCAGGCTTAAGCTCGTTCCAACAAGCTTCAGCGCGAACATTACTTCTGCATTCGTAAATCAGCAAGCTTGAGCGAGAATGAGCAAGCTTAAGCGCCCCGAATAATCCAACTTAAGCCCACTTGAAGAATCCACTTAGGGCACGAATTCTTTACCCTTAAAAACACATTTTGGGATTCAGAATCAGAACCTTTTCATATTATAAGAGATCTCTTGGTGCTTGGAGGCAAAGAGAACACGAAGAAACACTCTGTTCATGTTCGTGAGCGGCGGAGACGGATCAACATCAAGTCTGCACTGGGGATATTGAAGATTTACCAATCATCTATGGAGTTTGGGGGAGCTTTATTATTGTCTTTCATTCTTGATATTGTTATGTCTGGCTAGTTCTTTAAGTAGTTAGGGTTAGATAGAATTTAATCGATTTATTACGCGTTGAACAATTCGAATGTTAATTTTCCTTTATATCATGAATGAAATTATCTGTTTTTAATGCTTTATATAGGCTTGAATCTTATATAATGATCATAGGTAAATGCATGACAATAGGAATGTTGGTGTGTGATCCTTATCTGATAATTTCATCGTACGCTTTATGATTCTAGGGATAGACATAGGGTTTGCGTAATCTTTAAGATTCTTGAACTTAATGCTCACGTTCTTGGGGAATAACCGGGAAACTAGGGTTCTTCCAAGATCATGAAGGTTTAGGGTAACAAGAGATTGAGCCCTAATTACATGCGAAAGAATTGATTAGATTGATACTAAGGACGATTAACATTAAGAAGGAATTCAAACATAATAAAGAGATTAAAGGAAATCGAAACCTTAGCTACGTTCTTTTAAATTAGTTAATTCAAATCTTTAAATTCTTGCCTTTAAATTCTTGCTTTTTAATTATTGCGATTAATTAGTTTTAATATTCCAAAGTTCGAATTCAAATCATGTTTCAAATACAATTTCGATTGTCCAACTAAATTTGCAATAGTGAATTAGTGCTTGAGTATAATCCTCGTGAGAACGATCTCTTATTCAATCATTATATTACTTGTACGATCGGTGCACTTGCCGTAGTAACCCAACAGTACTGCTTTGCCAACTGTGATCGTGAGGAAGAATATTATTGGCGATTTAGTGAGAAATATTCATGATGCTTGGTGTCATGTTCTTGGCAATATGCCTCTTAAGACTTCGATGCTAATTGATGTTGCCTGGCAATTTCCGAGTGGTGATGTAGTGAAGATCAATATTGATGGTGCTGTTAGAGGTAGCACCAATCTAGCTGCGTGTGGTGGTTTGATTCGTAATTCTCAAGGGAGGTAGACAGGGGGGCTTTTCATATAGATTGGGCTCTTGTTCTCCTTTCAAGGCAGAGCTTTGGGGTGTCCTTCGGGGATTGGAGTTGGCTTTGAGAGAGGGGTATCGCAACATAATTATTGAAAGTGACTCATCTAGTGCGATCACTGTGCTTACCAAGAATGGTGAAGCAGTCCGTGAGTGTCATTTGATAGCTCGCATACGGACATGGATAAATAGAAACTGGTCAGTTAACCTCATGCATACCTATAGAGAAGGGAATGTTTATGCAGATTGGATGGCTAATTCTATTCTGGATATGAAAGATCTCATCCCGTTTAAAATCTGGCGGGTTCCTCCCCCTGGTATTCAGCATTTGCTCTTTGGCGATTTAACTGCTTTCGGTAGGTCTAGGACAATGGTGTTTAGGATTTAGTTTGTTTGTCTATTGTTTTCTGTTGGGCTTAGGCCTTTTGTTTACCAAAAAAAAAAATTATTTACAAAGATAAAAAAATGAAAATAAAATAAAGACATGAACTTTAGAACTCAACCTGGCTTGGACGGTTAATATTATCATGGTATACAAGCATGTACAATTGCTGCAATAGATAAAAAAAAAAAGAGTAAAAAAATGAGTCTTCATACTCTATTGATATTAGGCATCAAAGATACCATTAGAATTCATAATATATTCTGCACTATGCAGGACCACATAACATTTTCTGATGTGACTACACATAATTGAGAACATCTTTGAGAACAAAAACCAAAAGCAATGATATTAGGTACATGAGGTATGCAGGGAAGCATGTCCAAAGAGGAAGAGTTGTGCGAGAACTAGCAGTGAGGCCCATTACAGCACAAACAATTGCCACAACTAGCACATCAGCTGAGAATTCCCAAGTGATATCTCTCACATATATAAGAACAGATATCACCACAAAGCCAAGAATGTTGTTCATGAACACTGCTCCATAAATCTGCATTGACCCAACTTTTCATATGATTATCTAGTTAGAGAATAGTGAAGTGAAATTGGCATAGGAAGATCACTAACCTCATACATTGTGTGAGAAGTATTACTGCTCTTCTTATGGCTAGCTTCTTTGATTGCTGAGGTTGCTTCTCTAAAATTTGTAGCCATAGGGACTAAAATAAATGAGACGAAAAATGATGAAATTCCAGCATCTTCAGAGAATTTTTGTACACTTGCTATTAGAGGCTCTGCAAGAAGAGATAGCATAGTAATTCCCAACACCACATATGCAATAGCTGTCAACCATGCAGATACTCCTTTGGTTTGATTCTCTTCAATTACCTTTTCAACATCTTCCCAGGTCTAATACACAATCATTTTATAGACCATGTGTGAGTTTATATTAAAAAAATGAGAAATGTTGAAAATGGTAAGTTTTACGAGTAAAGGAATAGTGGAAATACTTGATGAGTTCCATGAGAAGAAGATTTCTCTTTAGCAGCTTGAGAGGAATTTGAGTTTATCCATTCTGTAAAACCTTCAACAAATTCACTCTCACTAATTTCATTGTCTTTGTTGATATCAAGATCTTGAACAAGTTTTGCAACTGCCTCCTTTGCATCTACAGCCTTACTGAAGTGGATTTCCTTGACTACTTTTTCTAACTCGGATCTCGAAACATGGTTATCCCCATTGCTATCTACTTCCTCAAACAACCTGTTGCATCACAGTGGCCATGCATGAGAACAGGCAAAAATAGTAAAAAACATAAAGGGGAATTTGTTGTGTCATTAATAGACAACAGAATCTTACTAAGTTTGGATTCTTTAATATTTAATGTCTATGATTATGATATTTGGTTAAAACCTACTCATTTGTGACTGAAAGCTCAATGGTTCAAATTCACGAAACAGCTTCTTTGCAAATATGCAAAGATAAGGTTGTGTACAAGGAGCCCTCATCCCTATCCTCATTAGTTGGAGTTTAACGGGGAGTGGATTTTATGATTATGATATTTGGTTCCTGCTACATAGTTGAAGTCAGTGAACATCCAATTAAGGTGTACTATATATGACAAACAAAGATCAATATGTGAACCTTCTAATAGCAGTTTTATCAGGTGTGCCATCATCTTTGAGCAGCCTGCCAACCATATCATTCTGAGCATGCTTTAAGACATCAGATATAAGATGCCCCTTTAATTCACGTTCTTTTCTTGCATTTTCAATCCATGGCTTGATAAAAGTCTGTTCAGAATACAACAAGGAAAGAATACAATAAGGAATCTACTTAGTAAAACCCTCCATTTTTTTGAATAGTTTTAGATTGCATAAGGAAATTATCATTGATATAATGTGTGGCAATCATGTCACTTGTTGCATTGCATACCTGATACAATTTGTTCATAGATTCTTTCGGGAGGTACTGTCTATCAAGAGCATGCTTTGTTTGGTTAATGTATTCTGTTAAGCCAGTGACAAACTCTTCCTTGGTTATAATTTGGTCACCATTTCGGTCAAAAACTTTTAACATGTCTGCTATTTGTTCCTCTTTGATATCTGTGTCAGTTAATTTGTTCCCAAGCAATAGCTCTTTTACTTCAGAAGCTAATAAATCCTTGCCCCCATGTTGACTGATTTCATTATATAACCTGCATATATGATGGAATATTATTTGGTTATGTACACTGCACAATTAAAGTTCAAAAAACTTGGCAAATGGTTACTAAATAATTTGAGAAATGTTTCATGAAATCTCACTCACCCACTTATGGCAGTTACATTTGGAGTCCCATCCTCGGTCAGGATCTTTTGCAGAGTTTGCTTTTCAACTCTTTGAAAAATTCTTAATATTAAATCATCATGTTTTATGTATTCTAGTCTTGTTTTCTCTATCTGAGGTTTAAAGATCTGCAGAGTCGTTGGAGAAAAAATAAGAAAGAAATTTTGCATTGAGAAAAAAAAAAATCAAATAAGATAAGCCAAAAAGTCTACAACCTAATGGAAAGAGGGGTATGTTTCACCCCTTCTTAAAATATCTAGCAAATTTCACTTTAACTAGAAGTACCAATGTACCATAGTCATTTCTTGTAAAGAACCTTGGATACACCACTCCAAAAGCTAGCTCAAAGGGTGGGAATGCCCAAGGCCTTATAAACTCCACATTAGTTGCTCATTCAACCAATGTGGGACTACATATCTCAACACGCCCCTCACACAAGAGCCCTCTTGGCTTGAAGCGTGAATTATGCGACAGGCCTAATCTTTGGTTTACCTTTTGTGCTTCCACTTTTGGTTTACCTTGGACACTCTCACCCTTAGAGTTAGCTTTTGGGGTGGTGTATCCCAAGGTTCTTTACATTTCTCAAATTCTCTCTAAAGTTTTTCAATTATAACTCAATTAGCCTAGGAAATTAATTCCAAATTATTATAGAATTAGACAAAGGGGATTTTAAGGATCAACTTAAAGGAAAATAGAAAGTGTTGGTTGAGAAACCTGGTAAATGAAGTATGAGATGAGAAAAGCCACAGCAACCATAAGAGCTATCATCAAGGCCACATTGCGTGGTGTAGAGGAGAGATGGAATAAATTGGGAATCTGCATTATGACAAGTGGTATAACAGAGAAAACCATGATTCTTGCCATCTTTCTAGTGTCTACATCCATAGTAATGCCATAACCTATAAATCCATAAGAAAAAAAAAAGGCATTAAATGAAAGGAATGAGCTATACATTAAACACCAAACAACTACAAAGGAGTTAAGGTACTTAATACTAATTCAAAAAACAAGTATCAACTGCAAAAGGTTTTCTTATGATGTCCATTAGTTTGTATTTGAAACATGTACTTTTTTTTCTTAATAATTAATTATTAAGGGACTCAAATACTTAGGAGAGAATCAAGAGCAGACCAGGCAATGATTCTTTTATTCTTCCATTTGACGAATTTGAGCCATCAGAATTAGTTTCATTTTTCAACTTTTGCTTGCCAACTATAACACAGGTTCCCCACACTACTGTCAGAAGCAAGATAGATGATCCAGCCAACAAACCAACTCCAGTCGAAGCATACTCTTGTGCTCTCTCAGCATCGCTGGAAAGTCCAGTAACTGATAAAACAAGAACCACACAAATGATTAGGATAGAGTCTGTATATAGTAAATGCTACCTAGATATTACAACCCACGGAAATATATATATATATATATATATATATATATTAAGTTAATATAACCATACACAGTTAATATTAGAGAATAATATAAATTATTAAAAAAAATTTACTCAACACCTTAAGATTTTGAGAGTTGAAGTGATTCTTTACATGGTATCAGAACTTCAATAACCACAATATCACAAATTCGATCTTCACCGCTTTCTACTTTCAACTAAAATTAAATAAAAAATAAAAAATATAAATAAAAAGTTGAGCCTGTGCAATATCTCGCTTCAAGCTCAAAGAAGGACTCTTGCGCGAAGAAGTGTGTTAAAGAATAATATAAATAATTAAAAAGACCCTTAACGCCTTAAGGTTTTGAGTTAAAATTTTACCGTTAAAACCTTTGAAAGTAGAAAGAAACATAAAGGGAGAGAAAAAAAAAAGTTTTTTTTTTAAGAGCAGTAGCATACCAACAAGAATTAAGGACTCGGGAAGAGCACCAAGAATATCAAAAGCACTTGCTCCAAAAACACCTGGACCAAGAATCTTGAAGATTTGCTCACCTCCAGCAGCCAAATATGACTCTCCATGGAATAACAAGTACTCATAAACCAAAATGAGGAAGAGATGACCAAAAATGTTATTAGAACATGGCAAGAAGCCATACATTTGTTCACAGTACTTCCCAGCAGAAGATTCAACACTTTGGTCTTTGAGTTGTATGTAAGAGTCTTGGACTTGAACATCATCAAGTCCATCAGAAACATACTCAGAAACACTGGTGCGAAGAGAACGGCATTCAACACCAAGTGCTACTAAAAAAACAAAGAAAATGAAGCATGTTGCATTTGAAATGTTTCTCATTTTCAGATTTGCTGAATCAGAAGAGGAACAGAGAAACTGAGGTTGCTGAAATGCCTCAAAAAATCTTATGTCTTTCATGTAAGACTACATGGTCAATTTGTACTGGGCCATGAGTGGCTTGAGTATCACAGAATCGTACAACATCACGTGAACAAATTGAGGACCGTACAGATTATTAATTGAGAAATTTATTGTGCATGTTGATTCATCAATCAATAATCAATATCAAACTAACCTGATATAAGTATGTAGGATCTACGGAAAGTCACGTGAAGATAAAAAAAATATGAAACTCATATATTTGGATGTATATAGAAAATAATTTTATCTTTTATAATATTAAAGACATTATATAAAGGATATAATTTTTTATTCTTACATGCTGAATCAAAATATTCTTCCCCTTTATATAAATGGTGTTGTATAATTTTAAAATTATCATAAAAGTAATTTTGTATGTTATACTTTTATCTTATTAAATCTCTTTTGAGTCCTATTATTATATGTGAGTAATACCGAAGTCCTATATTTATTAGAAATAAACAAATGAATGAGGATATATAAATGTCAAAGAAAAACTCATAAATTTATGCGAAAAATATTGTCTCATTTTAAAAGATGTAAAGTTATATTATTTTAAGTGAGAGAAAAAAATAGACAATGTAGAAGAAAGTGTGAACAAAAAAAATAAAAGTATAAGTCCTACATCTTTGTAAAAGTAAAATGACATAAATTCTGTCATTTAAAAGGACAAATATTTTTCACTAAATTTATAGTCATAAGATTTTCGTTGATACATAATATGTCAAATCTCACGCTCAAGGAGAAAATATTAGAAATGGTGTGCATAGTACTTTTAATTTTAGATTAAGGGAAGGAACTATTTATAAAAAAATTTTATAAATTACATTAAATCTGATCAATTATACACTCTTAATTGAAGTATAACCGGTTAAATATAGTGTAATTTATAAATAAATAAAAAATTGTAAACATAATTAATTATATTTTGGCATTCCTTTATTATATTATTTTGATGAAAAATACGTATATGCTCAGATTTTTTATGTTGTCTAAAAGAACAAAAGCTGCAACATTTCAAATAAACATTTTTTATTTAAGCCCTAGTAGATTCTAGGGATCCGAGAGAAATCCCAACTTAAGATTTGAGCCACTCATTAGGAGGTCAATTATTATATACATCTGATACATGGTGTGTATTTAATATGTGAAAAGAATGAGAGCCTCTCCTACCCTATCTCCTCAGAGTAACCTCATATTCTGTATTTGTCCGCTGTGCAGATCTGTTGGAAGAGTAACTATCTATTCAATTCATTTCGCATTCAAATCTTTTGTTCACTTCTGTTTCACAGAATACAATAAAAAAATGAGTGAGTTATACACACACACAAAAACAGGGTTATAGAACATGGAACATATGCAGTATGTTTGGAACTGAATATTCTAAATTAATTTGATTAATAAGTGAAGCTTTTTGTTTTGAAATGATTTCATTTGAAAATCTTTTTCAGTTTCAACTTTCAATTGGTGTTTCGATTTTCGAATTCTCTTATTTTAATTTTTTGAAAATGTCAACTTACTTATAATTGGCAAAAATATATATTAAAATATTACTATTTTAATACTAAATTACGAATAGATAATAGTTTGAAACCAATTTACGGATTTGTTGTACTCAATCATGTTCAGATTGGACGCAATAGGATGCACAGTCGCGCCTAGTTTATGTGTGACTCACCCGATGCTGACATGGTATAAAAAAGTCAAGAGTTTTACCGTAAAACTTCAGAAGTCCATAACTTTTAACTTGGGTGTACGAATCAGATAATTTTTTTTTATTTCACATAATTTTTCTGTATCTAGGCAATGACATCTTATTAAACGCGATTTGGTCAAAAAATTTCCAATATTTTTTTGATTTTTGAGATATTTTACCGTAAAATTTCAGAAGAACATAAATTTTGACTCAGGTGTCTAAATCAGGTGTTTTTTTTATTGCAAAAGTGCTTCTTTTTTCCCCATTTGACATATTTTATCTTTGTAAATAATATTATTTAAATTTTACTTTTACTTTTTCAATAATAAAAAATAATCCTTTGGGAATTTTTCAGTGCGTAGATCTAAAAAAGTTATGCCGAATAAAAAAAATCTCTCGATTTGGACTCCTGAGCCAAAAGTTATGATCTTCCGAAGTTTTATGGTAAATTTGAGCTCTTCAAATTTTTTAATTTTTTTTTACCAAATCCCCTTCAATGGGATATCATTGTATAGATCTCGAAAATTATGTGAAATCAAAAAATAAAAACCTGATTCGGACACCTGAATCAAAAGTTACGGCCTTCTGAATTTTTATGGTCAAACTGTTAACTTTTTGTACCACATGTCAGTAGCAGGTGAGTCGCGCCTAAACTGAATGCAACCGTGCACCCTATTGCGCCTAATCTGGGCGTGAGCGGTCGCACCCCTTTTGAGCGTGTGAATGCAATATATATGTAAATTGGTTCCAAACTCTTATAAATTAAAACAGTAATTAATTTTTCTACCCTACTTGAGTGGTTTTGATTTATTAAATGAGTTTGTTTTTTCTGCAGTCAATATAGATAAATTATTTACATTGAGTCCAAAACGATGTCGTTTTAGGACAGAAATAAATGTATTTTTGTAATTGTAATTTATTTCAGGGTTAAATAGTTTTTTGTATAATTTTTTAATCTTTCGACTCAAAATGATATTGTTTTGAAAATGAATGTAAATAACTTATTTATATTCAATGTTGTAACATTAAAGCCTTATTAAATTATTGAAACTGGCAATTTTAGTCCTTAATCCAGTTAAACTATCTATTTTAAGAAAGGGTAGCGAAGTAAATTAATAATATAAAATAATTCATTTCATTTTTAATGTATTCCAAATAAGAAAGGAATTCTAAATAGAAGAGGAGATTTTTAGTGGTATACAAAAAAGAGAGAGGAGATTTTTAGTCATATCAGATCAGTTTGAATTTTCAAGACTCCGGTATGACAGCACTTTCTAAAAGGTTATTTTTAAAACAAACACACCCTTATAAATTTATTTTTGAGATTGATAAAGAGAATAATTTCTCTTTTTTTAAATGCCTACACTTCCTCTCTTATTTATTGTTTTGTTGTTAAGTTATCGTCATTCGATTTGCGGTAAGGGGAAATTAAGGACAACAAAATGAGAGAACATGTTTCATTCCTGACATGGAGATAGTAAAATATAATGAATTTTTATAACAAACAATTAAAATATAATGAATTTATTTTATAATCAACCTGACGTACATTACTCAATAGCCAATAATATCAAATAAAAATATGTTTATTGTTGTCTATGTGGACGCAGTTGCGTGAGAAATAAAACAATGCATCATAAAAAATAAAAGTTAAAGTTTTTTTTATGTTATAGTAGATAAATTTTATCTTTTACACAATATAAAAGTGTATAGAGCCCATATGGGTTCATGTGAAGTGAAGACAAAAGAGAGAAAAAATATAGATCTTATATAATTTTATATATATAGAAAATAAATTTATCTTTTATAATATGAGAATCAATAAAAAAAATGGTAGAGAGAGGAAACAACCACAACAATGAGTTTGCAGTTGCTATGCCAAACAAAGAAATGATAAATAAGTGCTGGCAACTTGCAACAGAAGACACACATTTGGAGAAGAAAGATATAACAATTGAAGGAATAAAAATAGACTAGTACACAAAGATACACCTTTGAGCTTTGGGAAAGAAAAGAACGTGCACCTCTAAAATTAAAGTTTGAGAAATTCCAAATTATTCAGTCAAAAACAAAAATAAATAAATAAATAGGTAAAGAGATAGGAAATTGTCACTAGGAACATGTTTGGATATTCTCCTTTTTTAAGTTAAAAGATGCTTTTAAGCTAAAGGTAAAAAAAAATAAGAAAAAAGCTTTGTTGAAGATATATAAAATCATTAATGTAGTCTCACTCATCAGCTTAAGCTTTTAGATTGAATCTGTTCTTTACATAGTATCAGAGCTTCGGTATTACGGGTTCGATCCTCACCGCCCCCATTTAATTAATAATTAATTATGTCTTGTAGTGTTTTTTAGCACAAATAGGTGGACATGTGTGTTATCCACCCTTCAAGCCCAATGGACTCTTGTGTGAGGGGACATGTTAGATAAATATAAAATTATTAATGTAGCATCACCCACCAGCTTAAACTTTTGGATTGAATTGATTCTTTACATAGTTTCAAAGCATCAGTGTCACGAGTTCGATCCTCACCACCCCCACTTTCTCTTGTGGAATTTCTTAGTACAAGTAGATGAGTTTGTGCATTGTCCACCCTTCAAACTCAATGAGCTCTCATGTGAGGGTACATGTAAGAGATATATAAAACCATTATAGCCTTACCCAACAGCTTAAGCTTTTGGGATGAGATGGTTCTTTACATGGTATCACAGCCTCATTGTCACGGGTTCAATCCTCACCCCCTCCCCCCCCCCCCCCCCACTTTTTCTTGTGAAATTTCTTAGCACATATAGGTGGATCTATGCATTGTCCACCCTTCAAGCTAAGTGAGCTCTCATGTGAGGGGCGTGTTAGAGATATATAAAACAATTACTATAACCTCACCCACCAACTTAAGCTTTTGGGTTGAATTGGTTCTTTACATGGTATTAGAGCCTCGGTGTCACGGGTTCGATCATCATCGCCCCCCATTTAATTAATAATTAATTATGTCTTGTGGAGTGTAAGAACATGCGCCGTTAATTTAGGAAATTAATAAAAAGAAATATGAGAATTAAAAAATAATTTCATAATTGACCCTAATAATTATGAGAAGGCTAAAATAATTATGGTAAGTGATTAAGAATGCTGAAAGTCGCATTTCTGACGAAAAGTGCAGATACCGATTCTGTTCCACGGTATAAATGCGTACCGATGAATTATCCCAGAAAATTATGAAAAGTGTGTATATGTCACTAGAATAATATATACGACTAGCATAACAAGTTTCAGGTCAAAATAATGAGAACTGGTGCCAGAACTGATACTGGCTAAGTA